GGACCAAAAATCGATTCCAAAAAAATTAAGGACTTTTAAGGACTGTACGAACCCTGTAATAGCATATCACAGCAACATAGATAACCACAGAGTTTAATAAATACAAGCATGATTGTTGCTCATAACATGTAATTGAACACTCCTTCAGAAATAGTCTACTCTCCTGTGTAATATTCTGAACCACTTAGAACTGAACTTAAAGACTACTACCACCAATTATGATAACACATGTTAAATGTTCTACAACAGCAAATTTGGATAATCATATGGACTTTTTGAAGTAACCAATCATTAAACATTAGGTGTCTGCTGTTACGATTTTATTAAAAGTTTCTTCATTTGCCCTGCAACTTATAGTGCATTAATGCCTTTTTTTTAATAGTGACTTTCTGTACCTTAATAGAGAAAGAGCCAATGTCTAGAGTGAGACTTGAATCAGTCACATCATAACCATGAGCTTTATCATAAAGAAAAGGTTTTCTACCATTATAACATTAAATCAGATTCCACTTTCAAGAGATCACCATGTTAAGCACTTTAGAATAAAAGAATATTGTAAAAATATTTAAAGCAATATGTGCATAAAAATAAAAAGTAGCAATTTACCTTTTCACTAATTAAATAAATAAAGAAAGACAGAAACTGCAGTACAATGCTTCTTTAACCCCTTGAGGACAAGTGTGCAGGAAATGAAGAGCAACCACAGGACTGAACACCATGCTGAATACTTTTTTGCTTCATATAAATCCATATTTTGGTTACATACTCCACTGTTGTTATTAATTTTGAATTTATTTAGCATACAAATTTATGACAGTCTAAAACGTGACATATCTAAAAAATTCCTTTATGCGTGTTTTCAGTGCCATTTTGCTGTTCACAGTTCATTTGTTTACATTACACAAAATGAGCATGTTTACATCAGTGGAAGAATACACACATGCTTTTGAAAACAGCCCTTGTAAAGCTTCTTCTGGCTTTAAAAATAGAAAATATGATAGCGAAAAAGAGCCTAAAGAGGGGAGAGATTTCCTATAAGTTTAAAATTTTAATTCTAGTAATTCTGGTAGTGTCATTAATCAAAATGTGCCTACGCAGAATATAATATTGAAATCAACAAACAGATTCAATTTAGGGAAAGCCTTATTAAGAGGGGTGTTTGTGAGCTGTGTAGTTATTTGTAATTTTTTATTAATAATCTTTTTCTCTCATTTAAGAGTGTAAAAATAACTTTAAAAGATGCAGTTTTCCTTTCAACAAAATTCTCGGATGCATATTTTGAAAAGCATTCTTCACTTCCTTAAAATATTTTCCTATTTTATCTCTCCATTATGTTTTTCGACACTTGTACCGGTTTTTAAGAACAGATCTATCTGTATTAAAAAATAATTAAGGTATGAGTGCATTTTACTTATTCATGAGCAAATAATCTATACATATAATATAGAAATTAGAAAGAGCAAAATGTAAACAAAAGTCAAAAAGTTATAACCTATTATCAGCACAACCTGAACAACCATTAGTCCCAAAGTATGCAGTTTATCGAAACTGTACAGTGTGAGTATATATAAATATATAATTTTCTGTACACACTACATTACAACTTGAGGCTTAAATACCTAGATTAAATTAAATTTGGACTTGGATGTTCCTCATGCTTGGCTTATCCTTTACACAGCAGGTCAAAGATTCACTTAAGAAAAGCAATTCTACTAGAGTTTAATGTTCAAAATATTTCTCATAAAATGTAAGAGCAGTCTATAGAAAAAATTTAAATGAATACATATGTTTGAAATCTCCTAACAAAAAAAGAATGACACAGGCATAAATACTGTAAGAAAACTAAAATTATATTTCAGTTCTAAATTTTATAAAATTTACAACTGAAATTATTGTAAAATTCCAAAGACCTTCAAAACAATCATTTTTTAAATTTTGCACAGGCATAAATACTGAAAGAAAATTAAAATTAAATTTCAGTTCCAAACATCATAACATTTACAACTGAAATTGTTGTAAAATTCAGAAAACCTTCAAAACAATCATTTTTTTAAATTTTGCACTCAAATGCTCTATTTGACAAAACTAAATTATGAAACATCACATAATAAAACTAACATACTATGTTTCCTCACATATTTTTCCCCTTTTTCTTTTACTAACAGAAAAAAAAAAAAAAAAAAAAGAGAAGAGAAAAAAAAAAGGGGGGGGGAATTTGAATAATTTAATTTCCAAACGATGCAGCTACAGCTAAGAAATTAAGAAATGAAAAAGAGTAGTCATAAATAAACAACATGTAAATATTATTATTTCTTTAAAAGGAAACCTACATTCCAAGAAGAATACATAGCAGCATTACAGTACCTAATAAGATATCTTCATTTTAACTTATCTATAACTTTAATCTCATACATTCTTATTGTTTTCTCTACTACTCCTTAGGCTTCAAATCATCCATAAATAATTAGAGAAGCTGAATGTGCAGCTGACTCAAACTAGATTGACTGACCGCTCATGTTTGCTAAACTGTGGCTAGTTGGTTCTTGTATTGGTCTGGCACGAAGTTCAATACAGTGTTGCTACCTTTTTGAAACTTCTGACCAGCATATTTTTAAATGAAATATTTAATTTAAAAAATTAACCTATTTTTTCCCAAATTTATGGTGAATAGAAAGTAAATATTTCTATTATTACATTTATTATTTATAATTATTTATTAAAAATATTGAACTAATTAATTATTTTAAAATTAATAAACTGCTCTGTCTGCTTTTGCTTTACTATAAAATTCAATAGTAAAGAAACTATAATTGTCTAAGTTAAACAAAAGGTTTAGACAGCAACAAGGCAAAAATTGTGAATTTTATCTCTTTAACTGTTTATTTTCTTTAATTTATGCATTTACCATATATACTATAATATATATGTATATTCAGAACTGGTTGAATGACTGAATAATTAAAACAGAAATTAAAAACTTATAAAGTGAAACTAACATTCACTTTACAATAAATATTTTCAGGTTAGAAATTAAAAATTTCACATTTTGTCACTCGAAACCTTTAGATCAGTTTAGATAAAGGTCAAGTTATATTCATTATCTGTTCCAACAAAATACTCAAAAATATTTTTGCAAATTTACTTTATTTAATCATAATTTTTATAAAAACCGGACAAACTGACAATTAATTCAGATCACAAATCTAAAAACCGGCTTGTCTGGTGAAAACTGGCTTGGTGGGAACAATGGATTAAAAATTTAAGGGAAAGGTTCAGTGTGACCTTCACAAGTAGTTTCCAAGGGTTTGCATAAATGAAAACAATCACCATGTGGAAGAATCCATTTTAAAATTTAGGGAAGCTTGTTCTTTGAATGCAGCAAGGAAAGGAAATCATGCAAATATTTTTTAAATCTTCAAAATCAGGTCCTAAAAGGCTAGGAGATAAAATAGGAGAGGGGGGAATACATGAAGAAATACGGTATATTGTAAGGGTGAAATGACAAGCTCAGAGCACAGATATTTTTCTCTAATATTTAAATGAAAAAGAAATAAGCTATAATGAAATTATTAGAAATGTAAATGTTCATTAAGAATTAAAAGTAATTCTTTTCTGACAGACGTCTTATTTCCAAATAAAATGGCTACAGTATATTCAGATCTCATAATAGTGTGAAATTAATATTGTAAAATCTAAACTTTTTTAAAATCAGAGAAATTTAAAAATACAAGTACAATTTCCTAACTCATTTGAAATCACAGGATTTGGATATAAATGCAAGTCCTCTAATACTCTCATTAAATTTCACTCACTTAAAAAGGTTAAATCACAATAAAACAAACCATTTTTAAATAAATAATTCTTATTCGTATATTAAATTATTACATTTACCTCTTGACATACAAATAAAATAAGCGTCTGAACCCCTTGACATACCAATAAAAAAATCTGATGTGTACACCACATGACTTCCTGGTACGGAATATTAAATTACACGCATTTTTTCTTGCATTTTATTTAAACTTATTAGATTGAATTAAACCTACTTCGCCGACAGCGCATAAACCACAATAGAATAAATGCATTCTTTAAAATTCACTTTGTTTACCATAGCGACACTCTGGCGCTAGGTTTACTTAACAGTATTATATTTCATTCACATTATAACTCAGAATGCACAAAATGTATATCATTTAAAGAATTATCTAATCGTTGCTACATGTTCTATTCAAATACTATAATAAAGCTAGAACTATGTATAAAAGAAATTAAGCAAACAAAACAAAACAGAAACAGTTTTTCACAGACGATTGAGTATTTCTCATTTAATTAATTCAGTTCTCACTTTGCGAGAAGGCAAAAATACATAAAAACTCAAAATATCTACATTAAAAATTACGAAGTACTAAATCTCAAGAGTGATAACAAGAGTGATGGCTTATGACATCATAGTTTTTGGGAATGGTTTTTAATGCAAAATATATAAAGTAATTGTAGGTACTGTGGAACATATGAACACTATTAGTTAAAATTGCTCATTTATAGAAATAAATCAAGTGCACAGCCAAAATTTGGTACATAACGACTTCAACTGAAAAACAAGTGTTGTTCATACATTATTCTTTTTGTTTTGAAGTGTGATCCATTACTAATTTAATTTAATGATGATTTAATTTTACACAGTCAAAAAAAAAAAAAAAAAAAAAAAAACCTGAAGATTGATTAGGTGAAAATACAGATAAACTGCTTAGTATTTTTCTGTTACTTGTATTATAATATGGGTAATTCTATTTTCCTGTGTTTTTGCCTCAGATTAAATGATTTTTAGTTAACCATAAGCATGTTCCACAGTATTACCCCAATACACCAAGAGTTTAGTAATTCATAGTCCCCTTGAAATATGTTTGCCAGCTATTTGATCAAAAGAAACTAGAGGGATTAAATTAATGCAGAGTAAGAACCAAAGATTTGTTATGAAAATGCTTTTAATAAAAGCAATATGCAAGGAAAACAAAGAATTTAATAGGAAACATTTTTAAGGCTTACAAAAATAACTGATTATGTTTCTTACTGTATATTTTTCTGGACATCTGATATCTTCATCAAGAAATATCCTTAACTGACCAAAAGGAGACAGCTGTTCACTGGTCATGAGAGCTCTAAAAATACAAATTATATACACTTTAACACTTTCCTGAAAGGAATAAATAAAAAAACTTCTACAACCAATGTAAAAACACTATAACATTTCATTACTTATCAATATGCAATTACAGATGCTTTAGCAAGAAACTTAGAGAGAACAAAATATTAACTGTGGATAATCTCACCAAAACTGACATCAAAGCAGAATAGCACTGAAGTAATTTAATTTTTATTTAAATATATTATAAACATTTAAACAAAGTGTGTGGTCATGTGGACATCTTTGACAAGGTACATTATTTTGCTGAAAATCATATTTACCTGCTCTGCTTAACTATCAAATAATTCTAATCCTAGAGACACAAGAATCCAGTCAGTTAGTTTTCCCACTTTCCATTAACAAAATATATTAAAAGAATGTCTGCATCTGCCTGTTACATAATTATTACATAACAAGTTCTATGAAATACATGATGCTAGAGTGACAACCAATAAAAATGTCCAATGTTCATTCCTCAAGTGAGTAATATAACATACATAAATAAAGATTAATTTTTGTAATCAAAGCAAGGTCTCTTCACAAGATTTCTCAGATGAGGTAAGTTTTCAGCTCATTTTATATTACATAAATATAGTTAAGAAATGAACTTTGATCACATCCTTATAGTCACTAAACATACTGAATGCTGATGTTAAGAATATTCTTTACATAGCAGCAGCCAGAATGATGCCACAAGCTTGGAACACTCTATATCTTTTAAAAGCACACAATTCATTCAACTCAGAAATTTTATATGCTGAAAATAAATCCTCTATAATTTTCTACCTTCACCTTTCAAGCTACATGTGTGACTCATGAAAGCTGTATTAAATGATGAACAGTCTTTATGGCCGTAAAGGAAGATCATGATATTCAAGGAACCATCAAGGAATACACAAAGGCATTCCATAAAATTAAGTTTTTTGAAAATATGTTAATGATGAAAAATTTTCAAGCACCGTTTCATTGCTTTATGTAATTAAAAACATTGCTATAAAAAAGGAATTACATGATGGCTTAACTCATTATAAAAATGCTTTAAACTGAAGCATTAAAATTTTTGCCCTTATGATATATTTTATATTTTTATTTATTTATTGTAATTTATTTTTCCACCAATCATGCCGATTCTTCTAGAACATATTTCATGGTGTTAGCTATATTCTGCTGGTTTCTAAGCTGTAGGAAAAAAAGGTAATGAGTGCTAACCCTCCCCAAAACAAAAGGAAACAATGAAATTCAATCCATTTAAATTATTTTAGTTTTTCTATTCTCCAACTTTTAGCAAAAAAAAAAAAAAAAAAAAAAAAAAAAAAAAATTTGTATTCCCACATTTCTTCTAAATATTTCACTTCTGAAACATCCAGAATATGTAAAATTTCTCATCTAATACTTATTCAGAAAAATGGTTCAAAGCTAACCAAGACTGTTTTTTTTTTTAAATTATAGCAATGAAAAGTCCAAAAAGCACCAAAACTATAACTCCTCATGCATCTAGGCATCATTGCCTTCATTGAGGCAATTCTGTACTTCTTCAGAAAGAACTGCATCGCTGCTGAGACTAAAAGTTAAGGCTGCACTTTTTTATCTAACTTGCATATTATCCCTCGTATATGGTGTTTTTTTTGGGGGGGGGCAAGCACACTAAAATGAAGCAGACAATCAGTTGAATGACAAAAGGAGACAAAGATACTAAACACAGATACCAAAAACCAGGATTATAATGACCATATGGCAAAACTTTCAAATTGGCCCTTGTGACAGCAGGCACTTTCATGAAAAAAGGATGACAATTTTATACACCAGGTCTGAGCATTCTATGACCCACAGGTCACAGAGCAACCCACTTCAGTTTCAGAAATAAGGTAAAAGGCAAATATGAAACAAACACTTGAAGAATATATAAAAACATTAATTGAAACTAAATAACAATAACATTTTTGTTTGATTACAAAGTTCCAGTCAAGAACACACATTTTTATTTTTAAATTTAAATTGTAGTATAATTTCAAGAAGAAATTGATAAGTTTGGCAGTGCTGTTCTATAATTCTTTGACATCTGAGAACATTAATACTGTTAGCTCAATTCTCCTCATGCACTCTGAGATGTTCAGTAGTCCAAGAATGACTTCAGTAGCGAAAAAAATCGGCATTTTGTTCAACTTATAAATGCAAGCAAATATTTTCACACACAAAATTTATTTTAAGTAAGAACAGGCAGAGCTTAAACACCAAAAATTCAGATGCTTTTGTTATTAAAATGTTATAAATAAAATTCACTTACGTTTGTTTTTATACGTAAAATTGTAATTTAAATTTTTACGTTTAAAGTTTAAAGCATATTAGAATTATTTTCTCAAACAAACTTATTATTCACCCAAACTGATGGTTTTAAAATGAAAACACCACTGGCCCAAAACATCTTAATACACACATTGTGGTTGATTTTAACCCACAGCCAAAAAAAGGTTGCCAACACCTGCTACACATCATTCCAAGTCAGTTCCACTAAACAGCATTTTGTATAGCACCTTTAATCTTTTGATGTAAAATTTTATGTTTTGAAAATAAGCTTTATCATTTTTGCATATCTACTGCTTCTAAATTTTGTAAATATCTGCAATTAAGATGTTTTTTCATATTAAATCCATAGTTGTCTTCGAATCTTTTTAAATTGCATGGGCCTTTACCAGCATAATAGGCCACAGGATCACTTTGCTCAGTTCTGTCCCGATTTTCATGGAGATCAACCCCCAAGGGTAAGGCCTGAAGACACTCCTCTTTCCCAATCGCTGTCGCTAAGCCACTTAACAGGATTTCAGCTCACCATATATTTATAATGTCATTAAGCCACACAAACATCATGCCTCCCAGAGGATTCAAACCCAATGAAATATACAGAAGCCAGGACTACTAAATATTATACCAATCAGGGCAGCATAAACCATATCATGATGTGACACTGATGACTTTTATATTTAACAGTTTAAAAATCTGAGCAGAACTTTGTTTCATTCATCATAGAAATCAAACTACAGGATGAACAATGCAAATCAGGGGCAGCTTACTACTGCAACATAAAACACATATCATACAAGGCTTAGAATATATATACTTTGTCAGCATCTGCTCAAGGAGCCTGTAATCACTTTACAGAAAATTACTAAAATTTTCAAATTAGCCGAACTTCCAAAACTGCGCTGACATGGTATGTCATAATCATCTCAGAAATTAAATATCTCGGTAAATTTCTTTTCCTACCTGAGTCACACTATTAATGCCATATTCTTTATAATGAGCGTAAATCTTTACTAACATAATCATAGGGAACAGGGGCATGTAAAGACTTATATTTCACAATTTTTATAAAATTTGTTTCAGAGTTACATTTTAAGTAAAAAATAAAAGCTTAAAAACAGCTGCCTTTTACTTAAAATAAGCCAAAAATTTTTGTTGCACACCAGTTTTATGAAACTGAATATAATTACACACTAAACGTGTTTAAAAACAACAGATATACTCTTGATTATAAGGAAAAACTCAACCATAAAAATTGGGGGGGGGGAAATAGCTTCTACAATCACTTCTACAAAAATAAAGTCGTTACTGATCAAATAATAGCAAATTTATTGGAATTTCTCCCTAGTACCAAATCACTCCACATATGTACTCCATCTTTAGAAGATTTGATTATAAACTTTCCATTACCCCAGTCCCATCAGTCTGAAAATCGTTATAATCATATAAATCAGACATTGCCATAGTAGATACTTCAGGCATATATATATTATACCAAATTGTAGCAAAGATACTAGCACAGAAACTCAATATATGACTCAACATCCAGAAAATTATCAACAATGATTACTCAACATAAAAAAGGTATCTCCGGGTTCTCTGCCAGCCACTTCATTAAAGAAAATAGCAAATTTTTGGTTAAATTCTTCACCAAGCATCCATATTCAACAATTAAATGCGACAAGGTCAAAATCATACCCAAACCCTCTCAGAGTTCTCTTACTTTGTCTCAGAGTTCAAATTACTTTATCTGCATTCTTTACACAACTTTTAATCTAGATTAAAATTTATTTGTATAGTGTTGCTTATTACATATATCCTTTCCTTGAACTTCTGATTTTTGTTATATATTTTAGTATCTTCGGATTTTACTGGTTAAGTGCATAGAAGCATTAAACAATATTATTTTTAAAAAATTCTTTTTAAAATAATATTGTTTAATTCTTAATTTTTAAAAAATTCTTAATTTTTTTTAGTTAAAAATTTTTTACCTTTAGTTAAAATGCAATCTTGCAGATAGTAAACTATTTACTTTTTAATTATTATTTAACTCTGAATTAGAATTTTCATAAAATCTGAAATTCCCATACAGGAAATTCAGATATATTACTGTCGTATTTATAATATGTTATTGGCCATGCTTAGAACATTGCCATCAACAATGTGCAAAATTTGCTGAGTTTTTGAAAATCAAAGTTACAGCAGAATATACCCAATATTTGTACATCAAATTGCTTTTGCCAATAAAGGTAAAAATATGACATTTGACACATAAACACTTTAAAATTTTGGTAGCAAATAACTTTCCTGCGCTACTGCAACCATATTATTACATAAAACTCTTTTGAATTTAAGAAAAAATAATTATGTAAAAACCTATACAATGTAATTTTTTATTCAAATCCTGGATCGCTACAGTTATATTTAAGAATATTTCACACTTTTCATAATTATAAAAAATAAAATTTTAAATTCAGATACAAAAAATTGAACCAGATTATTTAATTTCCATGTTTGAAATCATATTCAGAGACCATACACAAACTGAACACAATGTTTGCATTTATACATGACGAAGATAATATATAAGTTTATAAAAAGGTTTCTGATGTTAATATTGGGTCATCTGAAAAATTCTGCATTGTTCAAATTGAAGTATGTTTTCTTATTATTTTATTACTTCTGATACTGAGTAACCTTGATCAAAGTGGACATGTTCAAATACGATCTTTTCTATTCGCATTGCATAATTCTAGAATGTGCTGGAGGCCCACCAGCGGCCGAGCGGTAAAGTCGCTGAACACTGGTACTTCGATCCGAGGTTCGAATCCTGCGAACGGGCTGGCTGCATGGGTGTTTTCGTGGTTTTTCCCCATGTGTAACGTGTATACGAGCCAGTTTCCCTTAGAAAGTCCTGCACGAAGGCATCCCTCCCCTTAGGCAGATAGCCCTCGAGGCTTTGCCATAATTAAATAACCTAACCTAGAATGTGCTGGGCACAATTTTTTTTTTTTTTTTTTTTCAGAACAGTGCTAAGAACAGAGAACCTATAAGTTATTTTTGTCATATTATGCTCATTTATTTTAAAATGGAAAAAAAAATGCTAATTAGATTGCCAGCAAAATGTGTGCTGTTTCTTATGACACAGTTCCAAGGTAGTTTGAGAACTACAAGCCTGTAAATTTCAGCTCTGAACTATGCAACATTACATGAGAAAGATCATAAGGTTAGCCAAAATAACTCTTTTGGTTAGTAATACCAAAAGGGGACTGCATCCAAAAAAATTAATGCTTTGTGCACGGAAAGACTACAAAGAAATTATATACTACAAATTGCTGCCACCAAATCAGACGAATTCAGAAAAATACTGTTTCCAAATGGCAGTGTTAATATAAAAAAAAATCAATGCAAAGAGCCTAACAGTGACCAACCTTTCTATCACAACTATGATTGGCCCAACATTTCAATGAATGTCAGACGAAAACATACTGAGCATGGATGAGATGTTTTGTGTCATCCATGCCCATATTCAAGACCTTGCCCTCTTGGATTTGCATCACTTCAGGTTACTTAAAGAATCTCTGAATAGCCTGCAGTTAATTTTTTTTTTTTTTTTTTTTTTACATTATTTAACAACATGTCAATAACTTCTTTTAAGAATGATCCTAATGACTTTTTAAAATGTAAATTTTTCAGGTGCTTGAGAGATGTCACAGAACCAAAACAAAAATTATAGGGGCAAAAACTCGGAATAAAATGATGCTAAAAAGTTCAATGTAGGTTTCCTATGTTTCTGCTCAGTTTCATTTGTATTTATCATCAGAAAATTTTAGATGACCCAACAGATTAACTGATAAGCACTCTATGCAAATTGTTATAAGTATTATTCAACATAATGCTTTTCAAAAATGAAATTTTATTTACAAAATCTTACAGAACCCCTGTACTAGAAAACACTGGAAGACTTTAGTATTGGCAAACAGCCAAACTCGTAGCAGTGTTTGAATAATTTAAAAATGAAAAATATTTCTAGTTTGACTTTCTTTGTATGAATATTATATCATGATTCTAAAATAATAAAACTTCATAATTAATGAGATCCTCTCAGCATTTGAAAGCTTATCAATTAATTAGATAATTCATTCAGCATACAATATGGATCAAATTGAAAATTAAAGTAGTTACCCGCACTCGAGAGCTTCTGTTTAGGAGAGGTTCTTACCCAATTACCTCTAATCGGAATACTAACTGAGAACTGGGCGAAAGAAAGTAAACTTGCAATCACCGCTGACAAAATCTGTCTAAAACATTCAAAACCCTCGCCTTAAATACTCTTAACTCATCTGCATCCTAGTGAGGGCTAACGAAAAGGTACGAAGTAATAGTACAAATTCAAATCGTTAAATAAGTTAGTTAATTAATATACGATACCTTATAGTCGCTGGTAATTATGTATTAACGAGACTACCTTGGCGATTTTCATGATTTAAAAGATTGCCAGACTTTCGATATTTATCTTTTAAATATTAACTAAGGATTATACGATGAATTAAAAAGTAAAACACATACACACATACATTTTTCTCAAAATATTTAATATTTTTTCCCTATTCTGCTCGTGTCCATATCAACCCGTTTTTGCTTTAAAAAAATCAGATAATTGCCACACTCGCCATTGTGCACTGGCTATCTATGAGATACATCTCATCATTATTCCCTTTAGCGATTTTGTGTCAAAATACGAAATTCCTCCAGAAATGTTACTTCAGTTTCTTTCCACTGCTATCAAGTTCCTCAAGTTGTTTTTAAATTAACTTTAAAACAAAAAATATCACGATTTGATAACAAAAAGAATGCATATGAAAACTGCAACGTTGCTTGACTGAAGAATTGTTATGAGCAATGTTGCCTGAAAAACAATTATGAGCATGGTTGTTAGAGTTGGGCATATTTTGGAAATTTATACTAAGGTGGTTACGATAAAACGTAAGTACCTAGTCGCCCCTCACCGTTATTTAAACTATTTAGGTAAGAAAATGCATTAATGGCCTTGGATGGTAATTTTAATTTTAAATTTGAGCCAGGCATTTACAAAACCTCAGTAAGGTTATTTCTAAGAGTATGTACATTCAAATAAAAATTTCACTCAAGACTTTTCAGTTTTTTTGAGATACCAGACTTCGACATCCTAGATGAAAACCTAGCGTAGAACATTAGTTCTGCACTTAAAGTTCTTTTGAACTTTAAAAGTATTGACTGAAGGATCCAACTTCTGAATAATTCCATTTACTAGATTTAAATTTTCATTTACAACATACTAACTTTTAAGTTTTCATTCATAATACACGCTATTAGTACCATATTTTATTTACAATACATTAATTCTCAGCGTATAGTATTTGTAATGACCTTACGGATGAATAAGGCACCATAAAGAAAACGAAACAAACATTTATTAAATAAATTAACGTTCAAGAATATGGTAAAAACGTTCAAAGAATAATGATAAACTCGGAGCACTACCTCGCTCCTACAACTACTACCTGCTCCCTCTGAGGCTAACATGCAACTGTCTCTCTCTCACTTGCTGGGCTCTGCCAGGCAGCTGATTGGCTCACCGCTGCCAGATACATAACACCCCCCCGGTAAGATTGTGCTACGCCAAAGCGAAGCAGAATCTGAAAAACTGAAACCAGCAAATACAAACTTAAATTGTATACTACACATACCAAATTAATTCAAAATATATGAACATGTATACAAGACGTAATAACATACTTTAAAATAAGTGCAATAAACATTCATCTCACAACAGATGAACAGATGACGCTTGATACAATACCGGAGTTCTGTAATAAAACATATATGACATACTATTTCAAAACACAATATTATAATGCAATATTAAATGAAAACCAGTAATTTTTTTTCAAAACAGATGGAAAGTAGCTCTCGTACAATTTCCGGAACAAAAGAAAGTAACTAATGCAAAGTTTTAAAACATATTAGTTCATACTTAGTTCACACCTATTTCATTCACCAACTAGTCTTGAAAGACCATATCTGCATTTTTTAATTGTGCACCAGGG